AATAAGGAACCCCCAAACTAGCATAGTTCATTAGGGCCCCTATAGTAAGTATTCAATGCTGATCCCTACCTGCACCCTAAGAAACCTACAGGGCTCCTTCTTATGACCTCCTTCTATAAGTCCTTGAAGAGGTATTCTTTTAGGGTCCCGGTACACTCTCAACCCTAAACCCCTCTGACCCCATAAAGCCTTGGCCCTATCTACATCCTACCATCCTAATCTTGCATCCTAACCCCCAATCCTACATCCTGCAAACCCGCACACAACGTACAAATTAATAAACTCCTACAAAGCCCAAATAAAACCCTTTGCCGAAGCTTTAGTACCGCAGCCGGGAGGCATCTCCATCGCGCTGACGTCTCCATGCCTGCTCTGAATGGAGTTTAAGGTTTAGGATTTAAGGGTTTGGCGGTTAAGGTTTTGGGTATGAGGTTGTAAGGCCGTCAATATTCTGATCCCTCTGCGAATCCCGTCTGAGGGAGAACGTACAAATCTAGGCTCTACATCGACACAACCCCGCGGGTCGTCGTAAGTCCTGAGTTCAGGTAGCATGTCAGCTCGCTCCACCGCGCCATGAAATTTGAGCAACTCAAGTCTGAATGCGGACTCCTTTTAACAATCTTGGGTTTCGGGTTTAGGCTAAACCCTAAACCCTAAACCTTGCCCACTGAAACCTAAGCTCTGAAGAACTTCTGATTGGCTCGAAGCTTAGATTTTCGTTTTGAAGGGTTCAGTGTTAAACAAGGGAAGAATTGAACCCTAAACCCGGAGTAAGGCCTCCATTTTGTCCACGTACAATCACACGAGAATTTGCCCCCCCTAAAAATCTAATCCATCTGTTCAGGCCCTTTTCAAGGTACAAAGAACCATACACACCCTGGCCAGTAAAAGCAAAAACACCATATTCTCACTACTTAAGGCAAATCTTTTGGAGTCAACCCATCAAAAACCCTGTAAACCCCTCAAGCCTAAATCCCCTAAACCCCCTAAACCCCTAAACCCTAAATCCTTAAACCCTAAACCCTGAAACCCTAAACCCTAAACCCTTGATTGAACTCTAACCCTAACGCCCCAAAGCCCTAAACCCGAAAACCCCAAAACCCTAAACCCCAAAACCCTAAACCCTAAACCCTAAATCCTAAAACCTCGAAACCTCAAAACCCCAAAACCCTAAACCCCAAAACCCTAAACCCTATAGGTTTAGGGTTTAGGGTTTAGGGTTTTTTGTTTTTGAGGGTTTTGGGTTTAGGGTTCGGGGTATACCCTTTAAGGCTCCGCCTGCTCGGCGGCTGCTCGCAAGGACGCCAGGCCGGCGGGCAGCTCTCGCTCGGCCCTGGGGTCCTTGGGTTTAGGAGTTTAGGAGTTTAGGGTTTAGGGTAGTTTTTAGGGATGAGGGTTTAGGGTCTAGGTTTATAGTTTAGGGGTTAGGGTTTAGGGTTTGGGGTTTAAGGTTTAGGAGTTTAGGGTTTAGGGTTTAGGGTTTAGGGGTTTAAGGTTTAGTGTTTAGGGTTTAGGGTTTTAGGTTTTGGGGTTTAAGGTTTAGGGGTTCAGGGTTTAGGGTTTAGGGTTTAGGGTTT